TAAGCTTGCAACATTTCACACTGCCTGCAATGTGTATCTGAGTCTGGCTAAAATAGTATAAATTAGCCCATGTAGTCATGAAGCTTGGAGATATACATGTCAAATGGCATCGTTTTGTTTTATTAACCGTGCGATAGCGCATTGGTGAATCAAGGCAACATAAATACTCAAATAAAGCTATAAAAGCATGATGGTTTATCTGTGTTCTGATGTTACAGTTATTGAGACATGACATGCTCACATGTAACAAATTTCAAGACATGTTTACAACAGCGGTCATGTCTTGAATGCGTTTTATATTAATCAGTGGGTAAAAACTTCCAAGCCGAGAATTGTGCGTTGATAAACATTATAATATATCATACCGGAAACATAACTCACGAAAAGACTACATGGTGGTAATAATCACATTGAGAATAGTCACAATATCAACGCGTTTCAAGTGTGGGTACTTGTGCATAACGCTGATACACTGAAGTATGTTGATTTACTAAACACTAACGTAACACGATATTTGTTGAACTACAGTGAATGCATTCCCGCAATGTTTCATTTTTAAAAAGCTGTTTTGACTTTGATTCATTCCATTATTCCGCGCACTCTTGTATCTCTTTTTCGTTTTTATTATATTTTTTTGAAAATCCTATAGAATTTTTTTCTAGTGACTCAATACATTTGGATTTAGGTTGAATTATGTTTTTTTGGATGTTTCTGGTGTTTTTGTCTGTCTTTTGCTGGTGGATAAATCTGTTACAGTAACAGATATACGTATATGCGATAACTGTTCTTATTGAATAATTTCCAGATGTGCACATACTTAGAACATATTCATATACGATAGATGAAGCTGTGAAAATTATATAATTTAATTCGTAATACCTGATCAACGCCTTTGTTTTATAAACAAATATGTACATTGTTGACCCCGTTACAGAGGTTGATTGGCGAATATATAGTATTTGTTAGGAAATCCGTTAACAAATACAAAAGTAAGCTATCTGGTTCAACACAATTATTTCAATTACCATGCGTTATTCAAATATATTTCAATGGATTGGCAATCTCATTTCGCTCAGAATAAGTAGATTTACTTGTTTGAGCCATACGTACCTTTATTAAGTAAGCCGATAACAGCTTGCTCAGTATATTTTTATCAAATCATAGTCACGACTTGTTGGTCATCTCGAAGCATACACATATTTCAAACAAAAACCCATGCATATTATTAAAGTAAATTGCCAGTATCATATACAGCTTGTCTCGATTGGGAAATTGGCTTCATCTTGGAAACATTACAATTGTTAGAAATTATGTTAACATTAATACACTATTGCATAAACGTTGATATACATTACATCTCATACAGCTACTGTCGGGTACATTTTACAAATCGCGATTTCATAATTAGTATCATATGTGTAATCAATAAATATACAAGCACTGTCTTATTTACTGAGTGAAATGTAGTGTTGTAAAATGTTCCCAATTTTTTTAAAACTGCAGTTCAAGAATTCCCATAATGTTTCATATTCCTGTAGGTGTAATTTTGAATTTGACTCAGTCCCCATAATTCCACATTTCTATATTGCCATCTCAACACGGTGGATAAGGCATATTTATGGTTCTCCCCATTTTATGACATCATCTGCAGATCACACTACAGGGGCAACCACTATCGAATGACTGGTGTTTTCATAGATCCTTATTATTAGGCGGACACGTATATCTTGTCATATATTTACATAAGAATTCCAACTCATCAGTTAGTGACATTGCAACATTAACCTGGAAGGTCTTGGGTGTTTTCATTGGATCTACTAATTCCTGGTATATTAAAACCGCAGTTGATTCGATATGCCCACGCCACCTGAACATTACTGTACATTACTCAATCACCCGGGACAAGGACAGAGTGTATTGGTTGTATGGCGACGCCTCGTAAGTGATGTCCATACGTCCCCTCTATAGTTGTAACATGATCTTACTATGATCTCCATACAAAAATATTTTTTTCATGCAATATATTATGTTTTTTAATCACTTATTTTTTCATATTTTATAAATATTTGAAACCTAAAATAGTTAATTTTAACACTATATTTTGAAAAGTTTACCAAGCAAAACCTAATGTGCGTGCCAAATATCATACCATATCATATCATAATTACAATTACATAGATTTTGATGACCTATCCACAGGACGAATGACGACCACTGCCATATTCCGACTCAGGCGAGGTATTACATCACAAGTTTTACATTTCTTCCTCGAATTGGCAATCTATAGTAATGATCTGTTGACTGATATGTCAACAATAGAAGTCACACGCTGAATGAGTGCATGCGTATCAAACGCTGTCTATTCGAAAACAAATACACAAAGAATTCAATGAAAAAAAATATTAATGAAGAAAACCAGTGATGTTATCCCGGAAAGCGTAAAATACTTTACTAAGAAGCTCGTATGTATAACATTAGACCCAATGGCGTTTTTCAAACATTACTGTCAAATCAAATAGTTTTTCATTTACCACTCATGTTAATTTTCTCAGTCATTGTTTTCAATGTCGTCAGTACATTGCACTGATGTTTTGTGCAGTTAACCCTTTCCAATTATACATGTACATGAGCTGTGCAATTTCATGTATTTGATTTTCGTGTGAAATGCGCACAGAGCACATCAATAAAGAGCATTCATTCAATATATTTGACATTCTGACGGACTGAACTACCCATATAATGATTTGGAGCAGCATATTGTTGTTTCCGTTACATTGTCTACTTTTCAGAACCATGTGGAAACCAGTGAATTACATTGTAAAGTGTAAACCTTCAAGAATAGTCATTAAAATTTACGGTAGTCAAATCCAAATCCTGTGAGAAAACAGTTACTTCTAACTGTCGGATCTTTTGCAATTTTACTGTTTCAACCAATCTTTGAATGTAGTTCATCTCTGTGCTAGGACTAATTGACTTTGCAAACCATACGTCAAAGTTTCAGCACAAAGCATGATAATGAATACATTATCTTGTGCATCACCAAGGACAAAAGACCGTATTGGTTATTTCTGAAATATTTAAAGAAACATCCGAAAATACGATGAATAATCAGCACAAAATATACAGTAATTAAATAAGAAAGTTGATTTTTTTTGCATCTCAATAAAACAGTATATTCATCCCAAGTCGGTATGCGTATTAAATATTTCAATTCCCAGTTTTCTTGCGACTCAACTAATTATAAATATATTAATTTAGATTAAACTCTAACAGTCAATTATTAACATACGTCAAAGTAATGAAATCAACATGAACAGAAATGTTAATTTTTCATCTTGATGTGAATGCAGCGTATGGCGTACTAACATATGCTGACGAGTTCATTATAAATTATATATAAAACATACAATGTACAAGTGTGCATTATTCTACGGCACTCTCACTCACATAGAGCTGATACTACGGTGTGTTCTTTCATTCACACTGCGACAGATCACTGGCGTTCGATATGCAGCATTGTGACAGATCTCCAACTTCCTATATGTAACATAGCGACAGATCACTAATGTTCGATATGCAGCATTGTGACAGATCTCCAACTTCCTATATGTAACATAGCGATAGATCACTAATGTTCGATATGCAGCATTGTGACAGATCACTAATGTTCGATATGCAGCATTGTGACAGATCACTAATGTTCGATATGCAGCTTTGTGAATGATCACTAACGTTCGATATGCAACATTGCGACATATCACTAACATTTGATATGCAACATTGTGCAGATCACTAACATTTGATATGCAACATTGCGACATATCACTAATGTTCGATATGCAGCTTTGTGAATGATCACTAACGTTCGATATGCAACATTGCGACATATCACTAACGTTCAATATGCAACATTGCGATATATCACTAACGTTCGATATGCAACATTGTGACAGATCACTAACATTTGATATGCAACATTGTGCAGATCACTAACATTTGATATGCAACATTGCGACATATCACTAATGTTCGATATGCAACATTGTGACAGATCTCCAACTTCCTATATGTAATATAGCGACAGATCACTAATGTTCGATATGCAGCATTGTGACAGATCTCCAACTTCCTATATGTAACATAGCGATAGATCACTAATGTTCGATATGCAGCATTGTGACAGATCACTAATGTTCGATATGCAGCATTGTGAATGATCACTAACGTTCGATATGCAACATTGCGACATATCACTAACGTTCAATATGCAACATTGCGATATATAACTAACGTTCGATGTGCAACATTGTGACAGATCACTAACATTTGATATGCAACATTGTGCAGATCACTAACATTTGATATGCAACATTGCGACATATCACTAACGTTCGATATGCAACATTGTGACAGATCACTAACATTTGATATGCAACATTGTGCAGATCACTAACATTTGAAATGCAACATTGCGACATATCACTAACGTTCGATATGCAACATTGCGACATATCACTAACGTTCGATATGCAACATTGTGACAGATCACTAACATTTGATATATTCAACATTGCGACATATCACTAACGTTCGAAATGCAGCATTGCGACATATCACTAATGTTCGATATGCAACACTGAGACAGACCACTAACGTTTGATAGGCAGTATTGCTTTTTAGTATAACAAAGACATTACAATGAGTACGAGTATCATAATCATTCGACGTGCTATCATAATTGCAATATAGTTATTTGCATGTACTGAAATGTTGATACTTTTAATTAACAACTTGAAACTGTTCAACCCTAATTATATCATCATAGAAGAATAAGGATAGAATAGCGTTAGGGTTCAGGTTCAACATAAATTAAACATGAATTACTCTAATCGACATTTCCGGCTCATAATATGTTTTATACTTTCTATATCTATATCCCATTTCGTTGAATCTAGCTAATCCCAACCAAATCAAAAGTTTTTTTTTCTTGTTTAGATTACCATGTCGACGCTGCTATATTTGATACTAGCGATTTCCGTTTTCTGTCCAGACAAGGTGAGTCCGTATAGTTTCCATTGCTATGTATTTGTAACGTCAATATCCATTTTCAATAACACGGTTTTAGTATAAATTGTATTTGTTTAAAAATCCTATGATTTATGATTTAATTCATAATTGTTGTATAAATATAAATAGGATACCTTTATACAATGGCCTCCCACAATAGAATGGCAACACTAATTAGGCACTATTTATGTGGTATTTCATTCACAACAAAAGTTGCCATGGACGAGGATGGAGGACTTGTCTGATAGCACTTAAAGACTGGCTTTTCTAACCCATAGACATTTATTGTACTGTACTGTATGCAATTTAATACTGTTGTTCACAGTTTTCCATTGAAATTGTTATCAAGTATATATATTTACTATAACATAACGTTGGTGAGCATTGCCCCCTTTCTTTTTCCTACACTAATAATATATTGCCGGCTTACTCAAATCAAACAATCCCCAAACCAGTTGGCCATGTGTATTAATAACCTTTAGTGAATGGTTGTGAGGTTCGATTTTTCAAATCAGAAACTTTGACATTTTCAGCTGGTTGCTTTGTCAGTATGCGAGGGTGATACTCTGAATATAGATTGTGGTTCTGACGTCATTCATGTCTTAGCTGCAAATTACGGTAGGACAGATGGAACTACATGTCCCCACAGTGCAATGAGCAATCAGGCATGTTTTGCTACTAATAGTCTGAGCATCGTCACAACTGCCTGTGAAGGGATTTCAATTTGTTCAATTGCTGCTTTAAATAGTATATTTGGTGATCCTTGTCATGGAACATACAAATATCTCGAAGTTGATTACGAATGTAAGTATAAATTACTAAATTCACGAATCGTAGATTTTATTACGAATATACGTAAAATTACTTGATTTCGTGTGCGGATTTGACTACGGTGGTAAATTTAAATTACTTAATTAAGTGTGCGCATATTGATTGAGTGTATCAATGCATTGTACATATCTTCTAATACACATTATTAGAATAACCAGAACGTAATGAAACATGGCGGATAACCGCCACACATTACCGTCGAATCATATTTTGTAGTGGAAATCTTCTTGGAGACACCTGCTCGTGTACATTTTCATCCTAATTCATTATAGTAATTTTCATTGAAAATAACCAAGTTATTGTGTTAATATTTTCAAA